GCGCACGAGGGAAGAGCGGGTAATGTTTCTTATAGAAGTCAACAAGCAGTGAGACCTCACAAGATACGAACTGGCCAGTTTCCCTACCAGCAACAACATTTTCAACTGTGCTCCTACTTTTACACTGAAGGTTCATCATTATTCAAAATTATATTACTTCTATGTTAAACGTTTAGGCACGGTAAAAAATAAGAATCAAACCTGCCTGTCTCAACATAAGGGTCATGTTGTAGAGAGAAGAAAATATATGAATAACTTCTGCCAGAACTGGGCGCATTTCCCGCAATGTGCCCGTGTAGCATTGCCGAATGCGAAAGTGGTCATCCTAAAAGGAACCAACAAACACCTGAAAGATACAGAGCAGTCTACGATCTTATACCGCACAGAAATGTTGGTATAGGTGGCTCCGTAAGCTCGTGTATAAGTGTCTACGTATTTTTGGAGTTCCGGGTTCGATTCTGTGAGTGCGCTTTCGTTTTTATGCGTGGTACATATCACAGTTTCGAAGAATAACTAAAGAACAGTAAGATTATCAGGAATCGGGCGTGTCACGATGGGGCCGGCATGCATTGCCGCTTGCGGAAGAGGACGAGGTCGCGGTTGGATATCCCGCCCTTTTTCGAGAGATTCCCGTGGAGCCTCGTAACTGAAATTAACGTAATAGAATATTACAAGTATCAGCTCGACACACTATGCACGCACACGGACGAGACTGCAAGCATCGCAAATCGCGGTCTAAGGCGCACAGCTAAACGCGCACACACACGCATACGACGCGCACACTAAAAACTTATAGAGTTGCATTACGGGGGCCTTTCAACGCGGAGATCACTCGTGATAGGCGTCTCTCGCCGGGAAGTCGGCGCGCGTACTGAATTCTCTTCGAAAGAATAGCCACAAAGTCACGCACCAACGCGAGCGAGCACGCTACGTCGAGCACGCAGACAACAGTTACACGCCTCGAGCACGCGCAACGAGAGAAAAAATTCATCCCATAATGCCACCTACACATGGACTCACACTGGGACCATCCCAGACAGCACAGACGAGGCAAGCATCTACGGGCGAGCGAGCGCCTGCGACAGACGTACCCAGGAGCAGCGGCCAGCCTCTCGACCGAATCCTCGCTTGTTTAGGTCTCAATTGCTAAAGCCAACCACACGGACGCACACACGAGCAACGAAGGGAATCAAGCCGGGGGTAAATGTTCTATATGAAGTCAACAAGCAGTGAGACCCTCACAAGATACGAGCACATCGGCAGGCTTCACAGCGACTCACCACGCCACAGCACACACGCTCCATCTGTCCACCACGATCGCTCACCCTAACTTTACAATAAGGTAATCCATGTATTTAAAGCTATAATACTCACTTCCTATGTACAACGTTTTAGCAAGAGTTAAAAAATAAGAATTCAACAAACCTTGCTGTCTCAAACTAAGGGTGCGATGTTGTGAGAGAAGAAATAGAATAACTCTGCCCAGGAAACTGCGCTTTACGATGCTGGCCCGTCGCACCATGGCGAATGCGAAAGTCGTCATCCCCTGCAAACGAAGGAACCAAAAAGAACCTAAGATAAGTATTGTTTAAAACAAGAAATTGACAGGTGGCATCCGTAGCTCAGTGTTAAGTCGTCTACTCACGTTATATTTTGGCAGGTTCGGTTAGCGAAGCTCTCAGGAACTGTCGAAACGCAACGCCCGCTGAGCGCTCTTCAGACGCTTGCGGCGCTTATATCGTGGACATCTACAGTTCGAAGAATAACTAAAGAACACTAAGATAAGGAATTCCGGCGCGTGTCAGCAGGTGGCGCACTACGCGATGGACGATTGCGCGTACGTCTTACGGACGAAGGAGAGTCGCCCGGGTTCGAAGTCCGCCCTATCTACCGAAGATTCCCAGGCACAGTTAGCAACATCGTCGACACGCACAATTAACAGTAATAGAATTTATTACAAGTTTCGTACGTTTGCTCCGGAAAAGTTTCGTATGTTATAAGTCTATTTAAAACTTAAAGATTGCATTACGCGGGCTTTCCACCGGAATCACTCGATAGGGTCCTCGCGCAGGGTCGCGGCGCGCGTACTGAATCTTCTTCGAAAAGCAATAGCATCGAGGGTCCCATCGGGGGGCGTTTTGGCAGAAAGTTATTCTGAAATTAGAGAAAAAATTATACAAAAATGCCCTACACATGGCATCACACTGGACCTCCCAAAGCAGAGCAGACGGGGGCGGCTGGGGCGGAGCGTCCCGGAGCACGGGCAGCCTCGAACCCGAATCCTCCGCTTTGTTAGGTCTCAATGCTAGCCATGAGCCCACAGGGCACGAAGGGAAAGCGGGTAAATGTTCTATATGAAGTCAACAACAGTGAGACCCTCAAAAGATACGAACTGGCCAGTTCCGCCTACCACGCACACACTTTTTCACTCGTGCTCCTATTTACAATGAAGTCATCATTATTAAAAGTTATATTATTTCTATGTTACAACGCGACTTTAGGCACGGTTAAAAAAATGAACAGACAAGATTCTACAACCTGCTGTCGATAATAAGGGTGCATGTTTGTAGAGAGGAAGAAGAAATAAATAACCTGCCAGAAACTGCGCGATCTTTCACGATGTCGGCCCAAGTGTAAGCATGGCGCGAACAGCGAAGAGTCATCCTAAAAGGAACCAAAAAAACCTAAGTAAGTAGTTGTTTAAACAGAAATTGAAGGTGGGCTCCGTAGCTCAGTGGTTAAGTGGTCCTACGTTATATTTGAGGTTCGCGTTCGATTCTTGGCGACGTGACGGGCCGTCTTTAGTCGCACGATGGGTACACGCTACACCGGGTTTGCGAAGAAATACATACGAAAGGCACGAAGAGGACTCAGCCAAGCAGTGA